ATGGGCAACAGGGAAGGTTTTTTTTTTTTTTTTTGGGTTCCCTGGCGAGTGCATCGACGCGTGTCAGCAGGGGCGTGGAAGGGCCTGTTGGCGGCTTGGGGAGGGTGGCAGTGACACTAGAAGAAGAGTGGGTGCTCATACGTGGTCTGGAATGTTGAGGTTGCACGTGTCACTGTCAACGTGCTGATTGACGCATGAGAAGAAGCGAAGTTTAGGCCCGTCCATCTGCTCCGTCTCATTCCGGCGTCTGCGTCCCATCCCGCATAAAGGTCGTCCGCTTGTGGTGTCTCCACCACAGAAGCCCGCCGCACGTGCTCCACAACGAGCACAACCACGGGGGACGCCCTCTAGCTTTTGGCCTCCCCGCCGCGGACCTCGATCGCCTGCTCACTGCGGACATCTCTCGCCTCCTCGCCGGGGACTCCTTCAGTGTCGTCGAGGATCACCGTCGTAGCTCTTCTCGCCTTCTTGTCACATGGAGATTCGGCGACGTCACTCTCCTTGCATTGGCGCCACGGTGCTCCGTGGACATGTCGATGTTCGGCGAGTGAGGACTTTGGGCCAATCCACGGCGAAGCACTCTCTCCTTATCACCGAGGATCTGTCTCGCCGCGTGGAGGTTCGGCGCCGCCGCTCTTCTCTTCTTCTCGCCGCAGAGCAGTCTCGCCGGGGTCGTTGTCCTCCTCTCGTACACGTGGACGTCCTGCTCATTTGTGCGCCGAGGACACTTCTTCTTCGTCATCGCAAACGAAGTCGCCGCCACACGCGATCCGTTTGTGGGACGCTGTTCTCGCCAGATCGACGGAACTCCCATCGGCGGTCGACCCTCTATTCCCACTCACCACCTTCTCCCGCCAAACTCGCTTGGAGAGGGAAGCACGAAGCATGTCTACGCGAGCCGGCGCCCGTGGTAAGAAGCGGGATATCGTCCCTGCGGACATTCAAGGGCGGGAAAGGGGTCGGCGACATGTCCCCAAGGCGAAGAGGCTTCGTTCGGATGATGCTTCAGGAACCGTGCCTGCTCGTCGACTGCAACATTCGGCAACAGCAGACGAAGGTGACGACGACGACGTCTTCACGACGGAGGAAGAAGCGCCAGAGGAGACCGTGTTCGCAGTTCGGGAGAGTGGTCGCTAGCGTTCTTCAGATCACAGTGCTGCGAGGAGATTGCTGACGCCTCCAATGGAGGCGCAACACGTGCGTGCTTGCGAAACACGCTCAGAGAAGGAGGTCGTCGTCGACGTCGGCGGTGATGATGACGAGCCGTTGGAACGACGTCGATAGCACAATGTCACACAAGCCACAACGGCGACGGCAGTTACGGCACGTGGCGCGACTGACAAAAGGCCACCACAGGGTGGACTGCCTGCCACGCTGTCTCAGCCGCGTCCACGAAACACGGCTGATGAGGGAGGCTCCATTGAACGCGGCGGGGGGGGGGGAGAAGTCCTGGCAGACGCGCGCGCAGTTGGGGGCGAGGCGGTCGCTGCTGCGGGTGCGGGAACTTCAGGCAATGCGGCACCCGTGTCGATGGACGGAGAGGAGCTTCCAGTAGTCTAGTGGGAGGTGGCGCGTGGTGAGAACAGAGGCGATCGGGAGGATGACGACCCCCTTTTAAGCAGGGTACGAAGGGAAGGCATGGCGAAAGATCTGATCGACCGTGCACGGCTGTGGGTTGATGACAAAGCTTTCTGGACGACGGGGGAGGGGCGAAGACTGTATAACATCGTCCACGAAACGCGATAGTATTTCGTCGTCATCGCCAACGGTCTTCAAGCGCCTGCCGTCCCTCGGAGCGTCATCATGCCAAAATCCTGCACGAAGCTAACAAGGATTGCCGATCCCGCACAGCTGCAGCAAGCGATCTCCCGTGCGGCGGCAGTGGAGAATATTGCTTTGCGTGTCTTGCACGGCTGGGTCTTCAAGTCCGGGAACCGCCCCAGAGGTTACAATTTGGCTTTCCAGTACACGCTGGAGTCCATGGCGACGAACATTGCGCGTGCTATGTGGTACGGCAAGGAATGGAGTCACGTCGTCAGTGCGGCTGTTTGCACGCACACAATAGACTTGTCCATGGACTTGCCACTGTGGTAACATCGAGGACAGGCCTGAGGACGACGCCATGGCGGCGTACCAGGAGTCCACCATCATATGCATCGCGCATGCATTCCACGTCGCCGTTCAGATGGGTGCGAACATCGACGGCGGCTTCATCTCACACGACCGTCTCTCGCGGGTTGTTGACTGCTTCAGGCTTTTGTTGGCGGCCAGCATGTGGTTGATGAGCATGGCGGGAGACGATCTGCACAACCACCACGAAGCTTTTTACTTCGTGAAGCTGGTGGCGAAGCCCACTCTCGTCGCGTCCATGCATCGCTCCTTCGAACATCGACGATCAGTCGTCCGCACCACAAACGTCGTCACGGAGAGGCTTGGGAAGGCGAACGCTACCTTGGGAGAGTACCCGAAGTACATCCCCGAATGGGCATCCTGCGGCATCGTCTTCGGACATGATGCGAGCATAACAGGGCCGGAGGACGCGAAGAGGCTGGATTGGTTGGGTTCAGGCCCCCTGGAGGAGGATAACGACGACGCTGGAAAAGACGACGCGTAGGGGTGGAGGGGCGCTGCTGGTGAGACGTACGGCGCGGGAGAGGGAAGTGGAAGGGGGGGGGGGGTGGCGCGGGTGCTCTAAGATTTGTGGCTGCGCGTATAGACGTTGGTGGTCATGACAGGCTTGCCGTCGGTTGGGCACGTGTACAGTGTGTCTCTCCTGTGAGTAGACGAGCGACGTCTTAGGCCGTTCACTTCGGCAGGGGTGCTTTTTTCACTTTGATCGTCGTTGGTTGTGCACCTGTTTAGTGTGCCGCTCCTGCGAGTAGACGAGTGACGTTTTAGGGCGTTCACTTCAGCAGGGTCGACAGGGGTTTTCGATGTCAATCATCGTGTTGTGTGTTGTTGTCATCGCAGCTTGCTGTGAATGAACATAATTGCGCTTCGAACGCACCCTTTTTTTCATCATGCGCCCGCTGTTTTCGTGACTTCGCTTGCATGAGTGAATGATCATTGCGACGTTTGCATGCACACATTTCATCTTCGTCTTTTTCTGATGTCATTGTCGTTCGTTTGGTTCATTTTTTGCAGTTTTTCCAAATGGCACCAACAACTGTATTTGATTTTCTTTATAACAGTCCTAGTAAAACAATGCACACAACCCTTAACAGCAGACGACGTCCAAGAGCAATTGTTGTGAAGATGCAATGGCACAGTGTATCTTCTTCCTGATTCATCATTGCATTGAAATATCAACACACAGAAGAACAACACATACTAACAAGAGACAGAAGAAGAACACATCACCCCTCGTCACCTGCACCCTCAATCGACAATTTTAACATCGCAAGGAAATTACAAAATCGAGCACCAATTGTTAAAAAAAACATAATCTAACGCAGGGGCGACAAGTTTCATCCCCTCCCGCACGATCAACCCTGCACTCTCTTCAACACGGTCGCCACGTGTCAAAAAAAAAAGGCGCACAGGACACCCGCAGTGCGCCGTATCCCTGCTACACAACGGAAACGCCCATTGCTGGGCTCCCTGAACAACGGGCGCACACATCCACGCACCACGACGCTGACGAACTGCAACCTCGAACCCAAACTACCAACCCCAAGGCGGGACGCGCACTAACACTCCATTCAAGGCGGGATGAAACAACGAATCTGCCCTCCTGCCAATGCTGCAACGACTACACTTCCACGCGCTTTCGTCCACCATGTGAACACGACTCAATCGTGTTTCATTCGTTCCGCTAAAGCATCCCGCAGGGCCAACGCTTCGTCTGTCGAAGTAATCATCGACACAGGCTGAAGGGGCTCTTCGATCCCCAGGTCCACACGTCGTTGCACACCATTAGCGTCGACCTCCCATAGCAGATTCTCGTCGAATGGAATTCCAGCGTCGATCAGTATGTTGTGCAGTATACAGACGACGGTGAACTGTTGCGGGAGCATGTCCAGGTTGGTCTTGTGCGTCCGCAGAAACAGCCACCACATGCCCTTCAGCCTGCCTAACGCCCTCTCCACTGCTCCCCTCACCACCTGCTGCTTGTTGTCAAACCGCTCCTCGTCGACGTCCTGATTGATGCCTCCATACGGGACGACCATCCATTCCGAAGGGGGGTAGCCATTGTCCGCTAGGATGTACCCGTTCGTCCGCACACCGAACGGTAGTGTCACAGGGGGACCACGGAACAACGACCTCAACTCCGCGCGCTGCCACAGGCTGGACAACTGGAACACCTTGATGTCGTGGCAGCTACCCGGGTATCCCATGTGCACATCGAGCACACGAAAGTCCAGGTCAATGACAACCTACGAGATGATGCAGAAACGACGCTTCCTGTCATAGTAGTTTTCGCTCGGTGCGTTCGTCGGCTTGTCCACGTAGATGTCAGTACAGTCAATGCAACCGTGGCAATTGGGGAACCCTTTATCAGCGAATGCCCGCAGAACGACGAGTTTACGAACTCCAGTCGGTCAGGCAATCTTCTCTCCGTACACCCGGAGCAGCACGGCAGTAACGTCGCGGACGACAACCAGGCCAGAAACTCTGCCAATCCCGAACTTGCACTTGCTGTTCTCGTACGTCTCCCCCGTCGCCCATTTGTACAGTGCGTACGCCACAATCTGGTCTGGCTGCAAAGGCTCTCTGTAGAACGTCACCTGCCGCTGAAGATGGGACGCACACGCCTCCGCGATTTCCCGGAACACTCGCAGTGACATGCGTAGCTTCTCCCGGAAATAGTCGTCTGTCGCGTCGTCGCATTGCCTGAGGTCTTCCCAAGTGCCTCCTGCCGTGTGCTTCATCCACCACCTCGGCGTCGCTTGAGGAATCACTCTGCAACCCAACACGTAGCACAACTGAACAACAGCCTCCGAGGTCGCCACGTAGTCGGGTCCATCGTCTGGAGCTTGCGTCAACGTCCTCCGTCTACGCGCGCGCAACTGCTCCTTCAATCGTCACAGCGCCCTCTCCTTCTGACATCGAAGAACAACGGTAGACACGACCGCCGTCATGACCTGCAGCTCAAGAGGCATGAACACCGCACGTCCACCCTCTCCGCCGCCCTCCATAGCCGCGACGTGGACACGGACCCGTCGCTCCGCTGCCGTGTGTGTCGTCCGTCAAAAGCTGGCCCTTTTTCTCTGGATGCAGTCCCGCAGATGGAAATGTGTTTCAAGGCGCAGTCGACGTGTGTGAAGGTCGACGGCGATGGACACACTCGACGATGCCTGCGCACTCGCAACGGCACGGAAGTGACGCCACCGCTGAGCCCGTTTCAGCAGTACTCCGTCTTCTCGCCGCCAGCCACAGGTCGTCGTCGTCGTCGCAGCCATCATTTGAAATTCGAATTTCAAACGTCGACGCCCCTCGGGTTAAATTTTTTTCCCGTCGCCCGCCTCATGTCGTTTCGCGCCACACGTTGCTGGACCACGCCACCTCCACATGGGCAAAAGACGGGGGACCAAGGACGACCGACCCCGCGGCCACTAATTTCCGTATGAAAACGGCCGTGGGCACGCCACAAGGAAACATCCTCGGGGGAGGTCCCCAAGGATGAGTGGAACGACGCCGCAAATTTCCCTTAAGAGCCACAAGGAAATTTCCTTGTGGCTCAAGGAACTCGTAAGGAGTGTCTAACGAGGCCCTTAGTCTTTCGCGTGCACCCTCAAAGCGTTTACAGCAACAGGGCAGGTAAGTCTCTTCCTTTTTTATGCATACCATCCTTGCACTTAGCCATGCTAATCTTCTGTGTATCGTTCCAATTTTAACGGATGTCCCGAAGGACTAGGCCGTCTGACGGCCCAGAGGTATCACCATCGAGTTGACCGGCCCCTAGGAAATTCAGAAATATTTGGTTTTACTCATCAAGTTCCTTCATCTGGTCCGAACTCGGGTCTGTATTTCAACAGTTCAATGGTGTGCCCACTGGGTTGGTTCTGGGGGGGAGAGCTCCAACTCTACAAGGGCTTCACAAGGAGGGAGGTGATTGCCCTGAAGGGAGACGGGGCAGATTTTGGGGGATGCTCTATTCGTGGGCTGGGGGAGATGTATGGGTTGGCATCATATCCCAGCGGTGGCAGACAAGGGCAAGGGGTCGGAGGCATACTTTGGGCGGGAACTGGATGCCTTTTTGGGAGTAGGGGGGGAAATGGGTCTGTCCCAAGTTGGGGCCGATGAGGAGTGTCCATGATCAGGGGCGGTCCTTTTTGGTGGAGGCAGCAGTGGGGCAGGGGGACGAGGGGGACAGGGGAGAATTTCTATTTCCTTTGTTTGTATTTGGTGGGACTTTTCCGGATTCTTTCTGGAGTTTTCAAAACAAGCACCCTTGTTATTCGTGGTAGTTTGAAGAATCTCTCTGGACTCTGAGGATCTGCTGGTGGTTTGTACGAAGCTGCACTGGAATTAGACTGTTATATTCGGGATCCATGGCTGTTCAATGCCAAAACGATGCAGGCCGGAGTCGGGGTGATGCCCTGTAACTTGCCGAAGGTGAGGGCATGAGGCCTTGTAGAGAGATCTGGGGATGCTATGCGGGGGCATCCTAAGGGACAGCTGGGGGTTGCCGACAAAGGACGACACTGACCGGAGCTGGAGTGAGCCGCGTTGCTCTGTAACCTAGCAGAAAGGGGGCGTGAGGCCTGGATGAGTTTGTCAGAGAATAAATCAGTTTTAGTGAGCTTTGTTATGATCTGTTGGAAATCCCTTAGACACTCGAGTGTTCGGAAAATTGCGGTGGATTTCAGGAGGTGTTTAGCAATCATAAAAAAAAAATTGTAGTCTTCTCATCATCTATCCCGAAGTCCAGTAGCTTGTTCACGATCTTGGAGGATACTCTCAAAGTTGAAACCGGGTAAATGGCCCCGGTACCTCAATTGGTTCATAAATTGTTTTGTGCATGTCTTCATATGGGACGCTGGGCCCGATTCCCAGCACGTGCTGCTCCCC